GGGGCTGTGCTCGGCACTGTGCCCGCCCCGCTCACCAACTGCACTCCAACAGGCTCAACAGCTCACCTTCCCTGGCCAGCACCTGCCCCTGCTGCTCCCTGGCACCCCTCTTCCCTTCTCATGAAACAATCTAAGGTGCAAGAAAAACGTTTCCTTATTATATTTTTTATACTGGAGAAAAAGTTATAATTTATTTGATTGATTTGGGTAAGCAGAAGCCCCTTTATACTTCTGTGCCTATGGTGATYTAGCTTAACCTTGAATTGATCAAAAATATTTGTTTGGGTGGAAAGTTTTCATGGAAACTCTGCTCTTACAGGACAGGTACCTAGCTGAAACTCACGAATGAACCAACTAAATCAGGAAAATGCACCCCAAAACTTCCTSTAATCTAAAATGGAAACTGCTGAGTTCTTTCAGCACATGTGCACATCACCAGCTCCTCGCCACACACACAGGCAGCTGCCATGCTGGAGGTGTACAGTGCACAGCCCTGACTCACCCGGACAATCCAGCTCAGTGTGAAGCAAACCTGCCTTGCCTGTGCCACTGGCAGGGCTCAGGGTGATGAACACACCGCCCTGGCATCTGCACCACATTGGCCTGCCTTTGCTGAGGGGCATGGAGCAATGGCAGCAAACACCGACCACATTCTCCTTGTGTCATGCAACCCCAGTAATCAGGCTCGGGAGAAAGCAACAGCGTGGCTCAGCATTGTAGCCAATGCATTATACACTATCTAAAGAAGAAAAGTCAGCTAGTAAAGCCTTTTCACTGGCTCACTAAGGAGATAATCATTGTCACCATCCTAAACAGGGGTAAGATTCAAAACAATTGTGCTACCAGCTGACCAATAAGACACACACAGTGATACTTCAATTAGACTGTATTTTTTAAGGGAAAGCATTGGGCCCTCTTCTTGGCTTGTGTTTATACAGTTCCTTAGCATAACAGGCCTTTGATCTGTAACAAATATTCCTACAGCTATTCAGTAGCTGAGGAATTTAAGGGGTATCAGAAAATTGTCCAGTACAACTGGCAGACAGGCCAACTGGTTGTCACAGGACAATCTAAGGACAGGGCAAAGAAAACAACTTTGAAACAAAAGTTGAGGCAAAATGGTAGGATATTTTTGTGCTGTGCCTATACACTACATAATTTGAATAAAAAAATAAAGCTTTTGAAAGGTTGCTCTGTTTTAGAAAGCAGACATGAATTACCATCTTGACCTAAAGAAAGAATGAGGGAATCTAGAATGACTTTTTTCCAAGCAGTTTAACTTTCAAAAAAGCTAGTCTTCCTTTTGGGTAAGTACAGCAGTAAAGAATCAAAGATTTRCTGTATTAATGCTGTAACCTAAAGCAAAAAAACATGTTATTTCAAGCCCATGTATACCACTAATATACTTGAAATTATCCCAGCCATTGCATGTTTGCATAAGATTTTCCATATGAAAGTTTCACTCTGATTTATTAATTTTCTATACTTATTTTTTATAACACATTTTAGTTTTTCTGAAGCCAAACATTTTGTTTCCAGTATCTTCTCTAACTAGCAATAGTTGAATGATGTGACCAATTAAATAGAGATTACACTGCATAGTGTATTTCTATTATGTCTTCAGCCTGTGCCTAACAGCACTGTTTTTCTTTCTACAAAATATTTTGGTTTCCTTGAAGAAATCCAGTGACAGAGATGAAAACAAAGATTAAATTATCCAAACACAGATGCTCATAAGCAAACATAAAAGAACCCCAGTAGAAGGATCCTTAGAAAAGTAATGCTTTAATTTGCTAGAGAACAAATATTAAGACTATCAGWTTAGGGGACATGCTGAGCCTTCGATTTTGAAGGAAGCCACTTCAAAACATCCTGTGCCTTAAAATGACTGATTTGCTCTGTGAAACAGTGACATGTCTTTTGCCTCATTTCATCATTTGGGAAGGTGCCCCAGTCCATTAGCTGTGATGGTCAGAGAACTTCCATTTCCTGACCAAATATACTTAAAAGCAGGGGACACAATCTGTGCAGTCTGTTCCAGGGATTCCCCTATGTGACACTTCTTTTCATTCTGTCATGTAAATGCCAATGGAGACATACATTGTTTTCATCCAGTCATCTTTGTGCCCTAAGTAATTCTCCAGATCTCTCCAAATGGTAGTATACTCTCCATCCTTGGGTGTCTAGCTTCCTACAGGCTCACCTATATGTACCCTTGCTTACTGCTTTTTGTTTCCTTGGATCCTCTGGTCTTGTCTCTGTATTTTTTAGCTTTTTGTCTGTTACTTACTTAACATAATGTTAACAGATTAACCAGCCATGTGCAAGGGAAAGAAGAAAGCCTCCTTTCAGCCTTCAGCTGTAAGAYAGACCTTCATCCTCATCTCCTGGACATGAAGCTACAGATGCCATGGCACACAAGCAGAGTTCAGCCAGGGAGGAGATCTTCAACTCAACAGATTGACACTTGCCAARTCTGACAGACAGTTAACTTTTCTGACTATCAACAGAATTTTCAGGTACTTGCATTTAAATAACATATTTTAAGATGYTGGTTCAGGGAATTAATTTGAATGTATTTGAATAGATTTGATTGGAACTGAAAAAATAATAACTCTACAAAATATCCCAAGAATCCTAAGAATAKAAGGTTTAAATGAGTGGGATGGACATTTTAAATAATCCAGAMGTAGTGAAGGTTTTTTCAGCAAATGTGTGAGTCAGTGGCAGAGCTGGTACTGAAACAGAGCTTTGCAACTCATGGATCCAGGGTCCCTCCACAGCACAAAACTGGCTACTACAGCAAAGCAGCTTATGTGTGTTTTCAGGGTGAGAGAAGAGACWGGAAACTGTGCTCATCACCTAACCCTCAGTTAGCAGCCAGGTCAAAAGGCAGGATGCCAAACTGGATAGATCAAATATCTATGATGACATTGCTGAAAGCATGTGAAATACATAACTGTCTTAACAGATTCTCTGGTGGACTAGACCTCTGCTTATCCAGTGATAAGCAACTYGAATAGGTGATCATTTGTAATTATGTAACGGTGAATTTCCCAGTTGATCAAAAGCAGTACTTTTTATTCCCTCAGTCTTGTCTTAGCTTGAAGAGAAGGAAAACCCCACACTGATACATGAGAGAGCAGGAAAGCAGGCACAACAAAAAGCACAGCATTGCTTAATGAATTGGGAAAGGAATGAGAGTACCTGTCTTGTAGCTTTTTATATATAAGGTACTTCCCCCAACACCATTAAGGCAATGTGTACTTGCCCTGCTTTTTCAATTATCATGTACCAAGTAAGCAAGGAATAGATTCAAGCAGGAAGCTTGAAATGTAATTTTTGATGTCCACTGTAAGGTGTGGACCTGTGTTTTGTCTGGCTATAAGCTGAAGTGCTACTTGTTGGTATAAGCTAACTTTGTATAAATCAGATTTAAAGTGACTGAATACATTTACACTTGCATCTGCAGCGGCTTTATTTAATGGGTTTGTAATTCAATTAAGCTAACTGTACTTTTATGGCTACTGATCTTCTCCAATACAGATATCCTGCAATAAAGTAAATCTCCATAAATTTAAAGTGATTGAATACAACGAACATGTTCTTCACATACCTATGTAGTAAGGGAATTTCTGCCTTAGGAAAAGAAAAAAAGAACTGAAAAAATCCCTCACAATTATTACACATTAAAGAATTTCAATTACYCCCTTGTTTAATGAATATGATCCACATATGGTTGGTCAAATAAGTAGGGGTTCTTTCTCAAAGCCAGATACAGTATGAAAAGTCACTTGATCACACTAAAGTGGCTTCTAAATGCAACTTTTTTTACAGCAGCCCATAACCTTTCATTAGCTCTATAGGAATGCACTAGCCCTCACCACAAACACAAGGCCTGAAAAACAAGTGTAACGATGAATTAATTAAGTGAATAAAGTTTTAAGTAACTGATCCATTGAGCACAGGGTATTGTGGTTTCTCCAGAATCACTTACCCATTATCAGWAACAAAACTGTAATGCAGTATCACATAGCTCGTGAATCAGCACCTTCTAACCCATTCACCTTTACACTGCAGTGCTGTGCAAAGGTGCTCGCCTGCAGCCTGAGTTTTTTAGTCTCTGCAGAAGAAAAGGAATCATTGTTTTTCTCGTTAGCGATATCCTTCCCTTATAATACTCAGGCTCAAATTTCAATTTCAAACCCACTAAAGCACAGAGTGCTGATGTGTCTGAATTCCTCATTGTTACAACTCCATTAACAGTTTGCAGGAATAGAATAAAATATATACCTCATCAACATTCTTTCCAGCATGTGGGACTAGAATTGCTCTTCTGGTTGGCTTCCATCCACAGAACAAATTGAGAACCCCAAGGTATTCAGCATRTTATGATATACTGCCACCCTATATTCATGACGTCCCAAAAAAGAGTGTACTTCCCAATTTGCAAGAAACKAGCTCCTTGAAGATTAAACATTAAAACCAAACATTATTCAAGGGAGGAAGGAGATAAGCCATCTCATAAAGGATATCTGTAATTAGTAATAAATAGAATGAAGGAAAGTAAGATCATCCTGTTGGAAAGCAGTGTGAAAGGAAACAAGGAACCATTTCCTCCTAAAACCACACATTCACCATGCTATTCATTCCCAGCTGCTAAGGGTGTCATTATCAGTCACGTTACAAGGTGAGATCAACTCCTACTGTTTCCTTGGGAATTCATGAAACAACTTGACAGAAGAAAAACTGAAGGCAAAGATATTTGAAAAGCTGGGAGAGAGTTTCCAAAGATACATTTGTATTTTGGTACTTTTTTTCTTAACAGTACTCATGCCATAAAAAACAGAAACCAATGCAAGCAAAGTAAGGCCATTGGACCAATTATTTCTGCAAGCAGTGACAAAGAATTGAGCAGGAAATGCACTGAGAACTGGCAAGCAGAAAAGCCATCTTCCTGTGTAACAAGAATGCTGCCTGTCACAAACACTTCATGAACCTCATGGCTGCAGAGATTAAAATGCCCCAGAGACAGAAGGACACTAAATAACTTAGGGCTTGGCAAATTCACCTCCTGAACATTGTTGGTTGCCAAGAAAAYTAATTCTGACTCACATGAAGGTGTATGTATTGTTCCAAAAAAGGATATGAATAAGTGTAGTATTGATGGCCCATAAAAGCAGTTTAAAAAATCCAGCAGCTTTAATAGATTTCTATCTGGTCTGAAGAATCATTCTGGTCTGCAGAGGAGACCTCCTTAGGCTTGCTGAATGGCRCTTGTCCAAAAAGACCTGGCGGGGGGCCTGCCTGGGAAAAAGAGCAAAAGGACGGAAGCGGAGGTGACCTGGTAATGTGTCAGCAAGGAGTGGCAGGCCTGAAAACGACTGTATGGAGCCAAAAAGGGATAGAGGCATATAAGCAAAGCCTATTCTCCTACAACAGTTCTGCCATGCAGAGCCCTGTTTTTTTGTTAGGGTTTTTTTTTGTTTTTTTGGTTTTTGTTTTTAAATCCTGTGCAACAGGAACCCTGAGGAAACACCACCTGACCTACCCAGGACTGATGCTCAGTGACTGATAGGGCTGTTCACACAACTGTCAGGATATTTCAATATAAAAATTGTCCCCTTAATTGCTAGGTTTAATTCTGAATTATTTCAGAGAGTGGCTGACTTTGAATATCTCCACGTTTGTCAAAAAGATTTACAAAGGGAACAAAATCAAGCCATAGCACTGTGGATGTTCRSACTCTCATCTGTTAAAAACACTTTTGGGTTCGCATATCTGTAAGATCTTCTATCTTGGACAGCAGCATACTCCTCACATAGTCATTAGTCAAACTGCACAGCATGTCTAGGCAGTAACTAAAGTTTATAGTCCACTAAATGGATCTGTCAGTAAGAAACTGAAGAATTCTGACTCATCTAAAGCAACAAAAGAAGACAATAGCAAACAATTCAGATCTAGATTATAACATTTTTCTACTTTGTTTGATGTTACTCTTTTAGATTAACTAGCAGAACTCTTCAACTCTCAACTCTTTGTGTCTAAAAATAACTCTCTTCATTCCATACCTGTAGGATCTTCTCATTCTACACTGACCAGGCTGGAAAGAATAGGCTTTGTGGTACTAAAAAACTGTTACCAACTATTTTAAAAAATTGTTTGCATGTCACAAATTTGCCTGTCTCCACTAATTTCAAGCTCCTAACAAAATTGTAAAATCACATCCAATGAGGACCTATCCCTTGCATCTGCTAACTTATCACTTTCTTAGGGTTCACATTCTAGCTGTTAATGTCTGTCTAAAAGGACTCAAGCATGCAACAGTATTGGAAAGGGAGAAGAGACAAATTGACAAGACACACCATAAACAGCCATGATATACCAGTGTAAAGCAGGGATAAAAGAGGTATCTACATCCCTTCAAAAGCTGCAACAGAGAAAAGRTTTAAGAGCTCTTTTTCTTTCTGGYACAGGYACCAAGGCAGGATTGCCCAGATTTGGAGCCCAGAAACACTGCTGTTCTCTGTAAGTAAAGGAGCTCAGTCTAATTTTTGCTGAGAATTCATTATTTGTTTTAATGTACCCACAAACTATTTGGCAGCAGCACAAAGGTTTCTTCAGACAGCTGTGGGGTATTACTGAGCACTTCATGCTCCTAGCAATGCAGTAATTCCCTACCCACGGTTTAATTAAGGGCTTTGTTGAGGTCCAGTGACATATTTGTGTACTTGAAGTGCTGCACCTAGGTTAGCTTGACATGCACCAAGAAAAAAGCCAAATTTCTAGCTAGTATTTTTTTCTKCAAAGGTGGATTCTTTAGACCTTCATAGCTGGTGGAGGTGTAGTCCATCCCCAACCTGCTCCACTTGTCCTCCCCTTGGTACACAACTATTCTCTGCATTTGCATTTATGCATTAAAGCCATAAAGTCACTATTAAAGCCACAGCACTCAGAGAACTGACTTGGCTTTCTCGAGGTCAGAGCAGCTAAACATTGAGCCTTTTGTTCTCACCACCCAATGAAAGGAGAACAAAATTCCTCAGTGGATGATTCTATCTTATTTGATCATAGTTTATAATTTCTYACTTTGTTTCCTGTCATGGACTTCCCTGGGAAAGAAAAGAAGCAGCTTTCCCTGCCTAGTGTGTGATTTCCCTGCCCTTCTGCTGACAAGCCAAATGGCTGGTGCTGACTGGTGATAATATTACAGTCTATGCAAGAGGCAAAGGGGAAATGACCTGTCAGCACTCAAATAATAAAACTTGCAACTGCCACATTTCACTGCTGATGACTTACTTATRTGTGTCTTTTTAGAGCCTTTTCCACCCTGGAAAATAAAAAAAAAAATAGGTAAACTACATCGAGGAATTTAAAAGACTGATTCTAGCAACCCTTTTTCATGCAGGTGCTTCATGAGAATCTGCTGTAAAATCATGTGGATGATTCATACCAATGTGTGCAGAGGCAAGCACTGTTCTCTATGCTAAGTGCATTTACTGAGTACAACATTTGCATTGACTACAAGATGGGTGGYTACATCCCYTAAACRGGCATTCAGAGAGCTGATAAAAGCTTTAAACAACTTGAGTGTCAAACACAGATCACCCTCAACTGCCCAACATTTTGTTATAAGTGCCATTTAGCGTTTTATGTCCCAGCAACATCAAGATATGAGAACTAATTGAGATGCTATCAGTCTTCTGCATTTTTCCACTTCAACACTWTTTCTTTCATGTACAGATATTTCATATTCAAGGAATTGTCACTCAAGTTTTGATGAATGTAGAGAGAAAGATAAAATACTGTCTCAAAGGATTTTATATGWGTTTCCAAAATCTCACAGATAGAAAAAATTATAATTAGAGACTAGTWTGTTAAATAAAATTTAGAAGGCAGTATAATAGAGAAGTGATATTCTGGGCAAGTATGGGCATTCCAACCTGCTGCTATAGTAGAAACTACAGACTGACTTTCCTACAGTGACTAAAACCCCTTGAGGCTTAATGTAATTTAACCTGCTTTTCTTAAGGAAGTATGTTCAATGTAGGTTTTGGCAACATTTTATTTTTCACACATGATGAAATGACCAGCAAAACATCCTGCCCTTTCTCACACAGATGAAATAAATGGTATGATTTTCCATGAGAAGACTTTAAATAAAGAAAACAATGTAAAGATAGAACTAGCTCCACTSTAATGTCTGTAGAAAACATGATATTTGGTAGAATATTCATTTTTATGGGAACTGAAATGAGTGGGATTTTGCATATCCYTTTTATCTGCAATTTTGGATGTTCTTCATAACCATAAGTGCACCCACTAAATAGGTTGACTTAAAGACTTCAGTTACACCCTGTTCCATGTCTTTCTGGCCTGTAAAAGATGTTGGCTAAGAAAGGCACAGGGCTGAAATTCAGGGCATCCCCAGAAAATGCTCCTGATTCTCTCATGGATACTCTGTAAGGCATTAAGCAAATCATTGTCAACCTGCTGCAAAATCTAAGTCTGGATTCTGTTTATGCATCACCTTTCTATCTATAGAAAAGGGACTTTTTAGAATAGAAAGTCCTCAGGGCGGGGAGGATGACTTAGCAAGTACATGTAAATTTTCTGGCAGGTTTGAAGTCTGATTTCAGCACTGGCCTCCAGGCAAAACCTTAAAGGTAGTGCAAGAGATAATAAACTGTKCTGCAACTTCCCCGTGAAGCACCTGGGTGCTATCAGCAACCATTATCTGACTGCCTCCTCTGTTTGATGGCTACTGCATTRTTTGCAGAGGGCTAAGAGTTACATCTAATGGCAGTTGTTTCGTATACCTATGTGAAAAAAAGTAATAAATTGCAGAAAACTTGTGCAAAACAGGCATCAAAGGCCTCACACAAGGATAAGTAATTGTGATAGAATTTTTGAGAATCGGTCCAGAATAGGAGWGGCAAGAGCTGAAATTTTGTTTCCCTGTGAGTAATATCCCTGTGCAAGTGTCTGCTTCAGTGCAAAGGAAGGTGCTAAGCACTTATTAGAATAATTTACATGCTGGTCTTTTATTGTTATGACTTTGCTCTGTGACTCCTGTCTTCTAGATGTATGAGTAACAAGTAATTTTTTCTAGTTCTTTGTACCAACAAAAAATCACAGCTCCCTTCTAAACAATTTGCCTGGAAGTAGTCAGGAAGAGTGAAGCTGGAAGAACAATGATGCCTGGAACTACAGGCTGAAACTTTGAAACATGTTTGTATCCAGAACAAAAAGACTTGGAGACTGTTATTCAAATAACAAGATCCGGAGAGAAAGARAAGTCCATGGATATGACTAGTCCTGAATAAGTTGTTCTAAAGTTTATTTCTATCAYAGAAACATAGAAAAATTATAGAAGAATTTCATTTAATCTTCTGTGTCTGTCATATTACTTCTTCTAAATCCCAAAAGACTAAGGAGAGTGATTCTGGTGTAAGATGGTAGATGTRATATCTACTGGCGTTCTAGTTTAAAATACATGTGCAATAGTGTTTTAAATTACCTGTGTATAAAGTCAGTCTTTACATTCTCTGCCATCCACATTCAAAACAGATACAGCAATTCCACTGAAGTACAAGAAATCAAGAACTGCTGAATAGATAATGATCTAAACATGAGTGTGCTTGTAGCAGCAAAACCAGTTTCTACAGGGAGATGGACATTCTGTGGGTGCTGCCAATGAATATTGTAATTTCATGGGATTGCTAACTTGGGAGTTTCCCCACCCTCTGGCTGCCTGCTGAAAATAGATATCACATGATCCTTGAGACTCTTAGTTGATTTTTTAAGTTCTATTTCAAGATATCTCCCCAGCTCAAGTCTGGGCCAAAACATAATAAAATGCATGGGTTTTAGCTTCATCTTCCACTATGGAAGCTGCTTTCTGTGTGAYTTCTTCATACAACTCAGTGATCAGGTACTAGAAATAGGAAGCACAATCTAATTCTTATTCTCTTTTGGTGTCAGCCCCACCTGCAAGCTGCGATGTTCATGCCTTTTCTGGAGTCATTGAAAGAACAAACCTGGATATGTGAGCTTTCACTTAYCATAGCATTGTATCCACACACATGCTCCTGTTTCTGTTTCTCTTCTAAGATTTGGAAGTGCTAATGAGAAACTGAAGTGCTATGCCCTAGGAGTATAAACCACAAAGATTTCAGGTTCCAAGTGAGAAAGAAGAAGTAAAGATAGTAGTGGGCGAAAGGAAGTACTGGTAGCCTGATTTGATAGATGAGAATCAGTTTGAGGAGACATTAAGTTTCAAAAGCTACATATGCATGGCAAGAGGTGAGTAGTCTAGTTAAATTCTTGAACTATTCAGTGAGAGAGAGTTAGCTGTGTGTAGAGTCAAGTTCCAAAATACAGTCCCCCTGCATCCATAACTGGAAGCCAGGTCTGAGGCAGGTTAAAATCAGAACATCTCTTATACCTGTGACAAACAGAAGCTTAATACAGTAACCAGGGTTGGATATTGTTATTTGGTGCTTAGACTGGCTTATTCTGTACAGCAAATACTCTGTCTGGTTAATTCTGTCCAGCTGCATTAAGCAGAACACACCATTCTCTTCCTGAAGCAGCTTTCCTCCTTAAGCTTTAACAAGCTGTGGTTTTGTTATCAGAAAACATCTGGGCCTATGTATATTACAGCATAGCTGCCATAGGATAGCCAGTCAAATCAGTAAGCAGTCAAAAGGAGACCAGCAGAAGTCTGTTTTCTGGCTATTTTAATATATGTTGAGTTCAGGTAAGAATCTTTCCAGGTTCAAGATGGAAAATCTGAAGTACTTGGGAATCCCTTAAATTCTCAACTTTCAACTATCTGTACTCCTTGTCCTATTAATTCTTGTATCTTTTTATAATTTCTTCTTGCCTTCCTTATGTCCTACAGGTGCTGGGTATTAGCTCCAGCCACAGCTCTGTGACTGTGGGTGAGTCTGACTCGACACCTTGCAAGGAGTCACTGGGACAGTGTGTCTGCCTCTACACAGCAGGATCTGCTGTCTCTGTGCCATACACCCATGAGTTCTGTTTCCCAGGGTGGCACCAACACTCCTGCCTTATATTTAGCTACTACCAGTCTCATGATGTTTCAGAATGTCCTCAGGTAAACTTACTAACTCCTCTGTCAAAGCCATGAGTCAAAGCAGACAGCTTCTACTGTCTCACACCTTTAACAAGGCTGGTCCTCAACAGTTTATCTTTYTGATTAGAAAACCTGTGCATTAAATGACACCATGACACTCACCTTAACACATCTGCTCATATGAGCTTTTCTCTACCAAACAGGCAATAAAYCTCCAATAACCAGCGGAAAGAAGCAGTTGTTCTCCAAAAAGGTGCAATGTTCTACACTGCAGAGGAAAAGTAGATTGTAAGCCTTCTTATTTAGCAAGATCTCAGGACACAAGGCAGACAGCCAAAAAGTCAGAGCTACCTTCTCTTTGCTGAGATGCCTTCCACAGACAGYCAGAGCTTGCGGAAGAGCTACAATACCAACAGGCCAAGATATATCAGGAAAGAAGGAGGGATTTCTGTCTAGTTTCCATTATTCTGCCATTGTCTTTTCTCCCACAACCCTGTAATCTCAGTTCTCATCAGAAATACAGCTAAAGATAGTGAGTAACTCATATTAAGTTATTTCATAACTTATATATGAAGGTGGTGGCCTGGATCTTGCCAAGAACAAGTAACAGCTTGACCAAACAGACTGAGCAATGTGGACATCCAAGAGAGATCTGCTAAAAGSCAGCTGCAGCTGTGGAAGAGCTAACATTCAGTAGGAAACAAAACCATGAAGAGCAGGTGTGGAAAGTAAGATACTAGAAAGAAATAGAGGAAGGTGAACTTCCTCTGTCATGGATGTGAATCCCAGCTCATTTGTTGTTTTCCTTTCAGCCATACCTTGTCTGTTTGCATGATCCTTCCATACAACTGAGACAGAGGTGGGAGGAGCTCTTCAAAGGCAGAGTACATTAGGTACAATAAATTGCTGAAATGCATTGAAGTGTCTGTAGAGCAAGACCATTTCCCATTTCGATGGGTAATCCCACTAGCTGTGAGAGAGACACACCCCTGTCTCTCCATGTACTCCTTAGGGAGCTGGYTGGTGTGTCCATATCCAAAACTGCATGAGTAGCTTTCTGCAAACCTCTGTTCATACATGCAACACCAAACCCTGCTACCATCACAGCCCATTTTCTTTTCAAAGAGCTCTCAGTCCTTCCAGCCTTAGTTAAAGACATGATCTACGCTTTCCATTGTTCATGCTCTCAGGGTGTCTCCCAAAGCTCTTCAGCCCCCAACAGAGCCTTTGAGTAGTCCTTCCTGGAAGCTCACCCTGACTATTTGTTAACTCTTCTCACCGAGGTGCCGAGTTTCTAATAATGTCTGCATCTGGTTTTCAAAATGGTTTCTGAAATATCCGTCATCTCCATTGCCTGTGTCCCTTAGAGGGGACTTTGACTTAGGATGCTCACAGGCCAAGTGCCCTCATAAGACTCAGGCATGCTTTCCCGTTTCCACTGTGCCCA